ACAAAGTCTGGGCCAGGAACCACCCTCTTCAAGGCCTTGCCCCCATTCTCTCTGCCCACCTCAAGTTACAAAAATGGACAATAGTTCGGGTGGCGGTGGATGCCCAGAGATGTTTGTGTTTCTGACCCACGTTGTGACGTCGCTGTGTCCGGCCGGCCGTGGAGTCGCGGAGAAGCAGGTGGAACATCTGGCAGCCACCAGGACCCGGCCCTGCAGGGGGCGGGGCTTGGCTCCAGTGGAAGGTTGGCGACCCGCCCACCGTTCAGTTCTGCAGCCCCCGCTCCCCGAGCCTCATCATTGCTGCTCCGTGAAGCTGCTACTGTTTGCTTTTCGGGGCTGTGACTTGTCTGAACCGCGTGAGGTCTGTTTCCTTTGTTGTGTGTGGCCCCTGGAGTCTCTGTGCGGCCAACTCAGGGGTCACTCAGCGGCCGGGCAGAGAGGTCGCCCGCGTCTCTAAGTTATAGAGAGGAGGTTCCCACAACCTTGCCCTCGGGTTCGAATAACGTTGGGGCGGCTCAGAGAACTCAGACAAGCCTGTCACCTCCTAGATCGCCCGTTTGTCACACAGGACAGCACTCGGGACCAGCCGGGCGGAAGGGATGGGGAGCACAGGGCAAGGTGCAGAGGAGGCTCGGAGCCCCCCTGCTCTCTGCCCATCATCTGTGCTTCCTGACCGATCGGGTCCTTCCTCCCAGCTCATCTCGTAACGCCAGCCAAAGACCCTGAGGGCAGCCAAACTAACCCTCAAGCCACAGGGACGGACATCCCTGACGTCAGCAAGACCCCGCGGGATTGACCCCAAGACAGCGATCGACCCGACCTTCGCTGTCCACCTCAGGTACCCATGACCATTGTCCTAGATTGTCCTCATGTAAAATCCTAAGAAACAAATAAAACTTCACAAGGGGGGGGGGCACCTGTCATGATCTCGCAGCTTGTGAGTTTGAGCCCCGCATCAGGCTCTGTACTAACAGCTCCGAGCCTGGATCCTGCTTCCGATTCTGTGTCTCCCTCTCTCTCTGCCCCTCCCCTGCTCATACTCTGTCTCTCCTGTCTCAAAAATAAATAAACATTAAAAAAAATTAAAAAAAGAAAGAAAAAGAGAGAGAGAGAACCACCACCAGGACTGTCTGCAGCACCTTGAGATGTCAGCCCCCTGTCTTCCCAGTGCCGGCCTCACCGAAATGGATCCTTTCTTGAGTCACCACCCTTTCTTGTGTCTCTCTGCCCTTGGCTTTTGTCAGCGGTGAGTGGCCGAACCTGGTCTGTTGGGACCCTCGAAGCCAGTGCCCGTGCACACTCGGGCCCCGTGACAGTAACCGAGCATGTCACACTCTCTGCTCTCTCCACGCGTTCACCAGTCGGATGGGCGTTCGGGGAGGCTTCATTACACGGGCACGATTGATTGGATCACTGGTCACTGGGGACCGAACGCCGTCTCCGGCCCCTCTCCCTCCCCAGAGGTGGGGGGAGGGGATGGAAAGTTCCAGCCATCTAATCGCAGGGTTGGCTCCCCCAGCAGCCAGCCTACCTCTCAGGTAGAGTCCAAAAGCCACCCATGAACACAGCAGAAGGCAGTGTCACGGTTTTCATCACTCGGGAAATTGGGGAAATCTGTGCCAGAAACAGGGGCGAAGACCAAATATATATTTACCGTGAGGCACAGTATCACGGTGCGTATTCAGTGGTGCACAACCGATGCCCAGATCTTTTGCCTCTTGCAGAACCGGAACTCTATACCCGGTGGACAACAACTCCCGGTCTCCCCCTCCTGCCCAGCTCCCCAAAACCACCCTGCTCCTTCTGCTTCTGTGAGGCTGACCACTCTACATACCTCATCTCATAGAAGTCGAACCGTGCAACGTTTGTGTTTTCGTGACTTGCTTAGTTCACTTCGCATCCTGTCCTCAAGGTTCACCCACATGGCAGGTGTGAGCAATTCCTTCCCGCTGAAAGCTGGGTCATGTACCAATGCACGTTCCTACCACATTTTGTTCATCCATCACCCACTGGTGGAGGTGGACGCTGGCGGTGCTCCTGCCTCTTGGCTGCTGGGAATTGTGCTGCTGCAAACTTGGGTGTGCAAATAACTCTTCACAATCCTGCTTTCAATTCTTTGAATGTGTATCCAGAAGTGGAATGGCTGCATCATATGGCGGTTCCATTTTTAATGTTTGAGGAAACACCACACTGCTTTCCAGAGCGGTGGCAGATTTTACTTTCCCACCAACAGGGCACGAGGGTTCTGATTTCTCCACATCCTCACCAATACTGGTTATGTTCTGGTTTTTCTCTTTGCTGTTTATAATAGTAGCCCCATCCTAGCCTGATCGGGGTTGGGGGGGAAGTAGACTCAAATTGTTAAAATCAGGAATGAACATGGAGACATCACTACCAACCTTACAGAAATAAAGAGGATTATAAGACGATACCACAAAGAGTTTTCCACCAGCACATCAGACAGCCTAGATAACACGGGTCAATTTCTGGGCGCCTGGGTGGCTCATTCATTAAGACTGACTTCGGCTCAGGTCATGATCTCACAATTCGTGTGTTCAAGTCCCACATCAGGTGAGCTCGAGCCCCACTTCAGGTAAAACACAAGTTCCAGTCAGCCCCACTTCTCTCTCTCTCTCTCTCGCTCTAAAAAAAAAAAAAAAAAAAAGGATCGATTCCTAGAAATAAAAACACTACCAAAAGCAACTCAAGAATAAATAATAAATCTGAATAGACCTATAGTAAGAGATTGAATCAGGAATCAAAACCCTCCCAACAAAGAAAATCTCAATGCCAGGATTCACTGCTGGTTAATTCTACCAACCATCTGACAAAGAATTAACACGACTTGTCCCCAAATTCCTCAAAAAGAGAGGAGGGGACACTTCCTAATGCATTCACCATTGTTATCTTCTCCCTGGGGGATATTGTTCTCGTGGCTTCCTTTAGGTATTTGTGCATATTTGAAATAGTTGGTTTTAAGTAAGTCTAGAGAGTCTAATGCATGAGCTTCCTCAGGAACGGTTTCCGTCAATTGCTTTGTTTTCAACGGTCTACGGGCTCCATGTTCTTGTTTCTTTGCACACCTCAAAAGTGTTTTTTAGTTGGGGTGCCCGGGTGGCTCAGTTGGTTAGGCATCCGACTTCAGCTCAGGTCACGATCTCATGATTTGTGAGTTTTGGCCCCGCATCAGGCTCTCTGCCGTCAGCACAGAGCCCACGTAGGATCCTCTGTCCCCCCCTCTCTCTGCCCCCATTCATTCTTTCTCTCTCTCAAAATAAATAAATAAACTTTTTGTAAAAAGTGTTTTGGGGGAGGCACCTGGGTAGGTCAGTCGGTTAAGCGTCTGACTTCAGCTCAGGTCATGATCTCATTGTTTGTGGCTTCGGGCCCCATGTCGGGCTCTGTGCTGACAGCTGGAGCCTGGAGCCTGCTTTGGATTCTGTGTCTCCCTCGCTCTCTGCCCCACCGTACTTGTGCTCTGTCTCTGTCTCTGTCTCTCTGTCTCTCAAATAAACATTAAAAAATTTTTAAATGTTTTTTTGTTGAAAATTGACATTTTGAATAGTATAATGTACAACTCAAATATCAGTCTTCCCCTCCAGGGTTTACTGGCACAGCTCACAGTAGTTGCGACTGTAGTGACATTTCCGAACTAATTGTGTAAAATCTGTATTCCTTGTCTTGTGTGGTCACCGAAGTGTCTGTTCTGTGAATGTAGTGCTCATTGGGCAGACATTTCCTTAAACACCCGGAACCACCACCCCCCCTCCAAAAGAAGAAAACAACCTCCAGTCTTTATAGATGGGGAGGACATGGTCTGCAAAGATCAGGATACACCTTCCACACCACCCAGGCTGTTTACAACTCTGCCTTGACCTTTACTTCCTAATTGCAGAGTCTGACAGTCACCAGAGGGGAGAGCCGGGGCCCTTCTCAGGTCTTTCCTGAACATGCACCCAGCCCATGCGTGCAAGTGTCCTAGAGGCTCAGGAATAATGGGCCAGAGGTTCTAGGTCCTTATTCCCTAAAGCTCCTCACCACTCGGCCTTTCTTCCAGTCGCTCTGCTCGGTTCAGCCATTGCCTTAGGCAGCCGAGACTAACATATGCCTTGAAATGTTTTGAACATTTAGTGCCCTCCGGTAGCCACCTCGCCACTGGGAGAGTTGGTGGCCAGCAAGAAGTCACAGATGACACCAAGGGTCTGGACCTGGTGTTTCTCTCCTGACATGGGGACACCTGCGGGAGGAGCAGGTACCTGACACGGACGGGTGGGCAGGGGAGGCCCGAGGCCCCCACGGGTGTGTGTCTGGCATCTGGACTGAACAGTTCGGTTCAGATGGGGTGGGATCGGTGAGGCCCAAGGGACGGGGCCCCGGGGTCCTTCAGGCTGAGGAGGAAGATGAGGGGAGCACAGGGGACTGAGAAGGCTCGGGTTAGACAAGACAGAGCTGAGCAACTCCTCTGGGGGAAAAGTGGGTCAGGTCCAGGCTCACGGGGACAGACCCTGAGGCCACTGTGCTTCATGAAATAAGCCAGTCCCTAAAGGACCGATATTGGAGGACCCCGCTCATGACGGACCGAAACAGTCAGATTCAGAGGCGTGGGAGGAGCAGTGGGTGCCGGGCCTGGGGAGGGGGATGGGTGTGGGAGGGTTAGGGTCTAGTGGGCATAGAGTTTGGGGTGACGAAAAAGTCGTGAAGATGATTGGAGGGGACAGTTGCAGAACAGTGAATGTACCTATTGCCACTGAATTGTACACCTGAACATGGTTAACATTATCAAGGTTATAGGGGCGCCTGGGGGGCTCAGTCGGTTGAGCGTCCAACTTTGGCTCACGGTTCGTGGGTTCGAGCCCCGCGTCGGGCTCTGTGCTGACGGCTCGGAGGCGGAGCCCGCTTCGGATGCTGTGTCTCCCTCTGTCTCTGCCCCTCCCCGCTAGCTCATGGTCTCTCTCTCTCTCTCAAAAATAAATAAACCTTAAAAAAATAAAAACAATAAATAGAAAAGCATCCGACATAAAATTGGAGCTGTTTACAGCGGCAAGTGACCCAGAAATTGTAACAGTTGGCCAATGTCACGGAGAAATAGCAGTGGCAACGCGGACCGCCCTGTCCTTGAAGTGAGAAGGGAGACGCAAGGTGGAGAGACTGCAGCACTCAGCCCTGGCCGGGGCCTCGAGGAAGCGCACAAGGCAGGTTTCCGGGACAACCCGCAACTCCTGTCATGCGCCGGAAATATTTTAGTGGCAGTGACAGGGCAAGTGAACAGCCACAAAACCGCAGTGACTGAGGGAGGCCGGGGGGGGGGGGGCTGTCCTGCCCCAGCAGGCGGCGGGCTGTGCCCCATGCTGCCGGGAAGCCAGGCGCCAGCCAAGGGGGTCCTGATCCGGCCTCACCTTCATGTCCTGCCCGCGGCTGCAAGCGACCTTTCAACTCTGACCAGGAACCCGAAGAGCAAGGGGTCTTGCTGGAGCCGCACCCCCCGGCAGGCCCCCGGTCAGGCCTAACTGTGCCCGTGCCCGATGCGATGCCTCGGCGATGTCCCGCGACCGGACAGAAAAAGGGAGCGGCGACAGCCCATCTGCTCTGACGGCTGGGGTCAGGGTGGCACCCCTGACGGACACTAGGCCAGCCCGTCTTCAGTCCCGGATGCCCCGGTGACTCTTGGGCACGGTCACATACCTCAGCTTCTTCTCGACGGCGGGCCAGCCCAGCAGTTGTTCGTCCCACAGGTACTCGGGGGACAGCACCTTGGTGGGCTTGTGGTCCAGCAGGTACCTGTTCAGGTGGCTCTCGTCGTGCCACACGGCCTCGATGCCGTGGGCCCGGTCGACCACCGTGGCCTGGTGACAGGCCGACGTGAGCCGCAGAACCTTGCCACGGACCCCCCGAAAAACTTCTCTCTGCCGGGAGAAGTTGCGGATCATCTCCATGCGGTGCGTGGACACGTCCTGCCAGCGCGAGTAGCTCCGGACCTCCAGGACCACCACCTGCCTCCCTTCCCCGAGGGGCACGCGGGGCACATCCCCCGGCCGGTCGGTGAACACGTAGTAGGAGACCTTGTGTCCCACCATGAAGTGCTTCTCCGCCGTCTGCAGGAACAGCTCCAGGAAGGCCACGTATCTGCAGGGACAGGGGACAGGGCGGGAGGAGGGTCGCTGCCAGAGGCTGGCGGCAGGAGCCCAAAGCCGGGGGCCCGTGTGCCTTATCGAGGAGGCAGACCCTGGGCTGCTGAAGGAACAGCCGCTGTCCTGGCCTGTCCTGGGCGAGTCTGCCCGCGGCGCCTCCCTAACCTCTGCCCCGGGGGACGGGGGACCATCAGCGCCCCATCTTACAAAGGGGAGCGAGCCTGAGGCGGAGGAGGCTGGAAACCCGTGCAGCCACGAGTCAGCATGCTGGAGCCGGCAGCGCACCCCCATGCCGAGCTCCCCTGGCAGACCCCCTCCACCCGCAGGACCCGCCCCTGGCAAATCCCCTGCAGGTTCCCACCTGCTGTGAGGGAGTCGAGACCCTTCGGGCACAGCTCTGGTCAACGTGCCCTCGCAGACTTCGCAGAACCTGCAGGGCCGGCCACCTGCCCCTCTTGGCTCAGTGGTCGGTCCTTGGCCCCCAGGACTGTGTCTGCCCCTGCAGGGCCCTCCCTTGAAGGCTACTGGGCCCTCAGTCAACGGCGGGTATTCCGAGAAGGCGTCACCCCCCCCCATCTCCCCCAGATCAGGACTCAGGCCCAGCATGTGGCCAGGGGAGGCCAAAGAGGGCCCCTGGAGGAAGAGGGGGCTTGCTCGGGCCCCAGCACTGAACGCGAGCGTGGAAGCTTCCGGGTCCAGGTCTGTATCTCCCCAACCCCAAGAGGTTGGAAGTCTTCTCCAACCGCCTCCCATGGCTGGTCCCTCTTCGAGGGGGCTCGCTGCTCCCCACCCTGCACACACCAGCTCCCCCGTCATCGGGCCAGTGCGGTGAGCCCCTCGGTGACAGTTTTTTGAGCAGGCCCTAAGGCTACTTCCCGGTGCCTGGCCCAGAAACCCCTCCCACAGGGAAGGTGGGCACTCCGTTTCAATAGGGGACATGCACACACACACACACACACACACACACACTCACACACACACACCCCTGCCCAGCCACCAGTCAGGTCACCAGGGGCAAGTCCAGACCCAGCCGATGTGATCGTGGGTTCACAGCTCGACTCGGGGAGTCTGGCTTCCTCTGAGGACATGCCCACCACCTGTCCACCCCCTGGGGACTGCACTCGGAGCCCAGAGGGGACACACGCGGACAGCCAGCCCACACGCAGCAGGCAGCTACTGGTACTGGCCGAGGAGCCTGGGCAGTGAAGCTTCTGGTTGGTGATTTCAGCCGCTTGTCTCCAGGGACTAGAGTAGGATTCTGAGGCGACCGTGTGCCCTTCTTACTCCCTGCACTTGGGGCCAAGTCCTGGGAAAGGTGTTCCAAAGGCCTCAGGGCCATCCTCTGGGGTCTCGGGTGAACTCTGCAGAGGGAGGAAGCCCCACCTGTCCACACGCAGGCCCAGCACCTACGAGCTTTCCCTTCCCCCATGGCGATCCCGAGGGAGGATGCTGTCGTCAGCCCCACTTTCCAGAGGCTCAGAGAGACCACGCCACTTACCTGCGGCTGCCCAGCTCATTCAGCGGAAGTCACCTGTCCCTGGAGTCCCAGGGCCTCAGTGCTCAGCTCCCTCACAGGAGCCTGGGGTCTGGCACCGAGTGCTGTGCCTGACCTGGCTGTCCCCCCTCCATGACCGTCACCCTATAAGGGAGCACACAGGAGCCCAGCTCCACAGGCACTGGCTTCCTACCCGTCCAAGGAAGCACACAGCCTCCTCCCTTCTGCTACTGTGGCCGGAGGAAGGCTCCCCTGCCGCCAGGATGTTGGGGTGCTCTTCTCCTTCCTTGACTCAGCAGAGGAGCAACCTGGGATCACTGATGGGTCTGGAGCTGCCTTCCTGGGTGACGTGCAGCCTTTGGAAAGAGAGCCAGGTGGTGTCCACTCACTGAGCCCGGGAAGACTGCTGAACACGTGGACTTTCACATTAACCCCTAGGAGGACAGGCTGGGTCCCCACCCACCGTGTGCTGAACACACAGCCAGACCTGATGTCCTCGGTCTCTCCTGCATCCCGGTCCCCACCCTCTGTCATCTCATCTACTTACTTTTTTTTTTAACGTTTATTTATTTTTGAGACACAGAGAGAGAGCATGAGCAGGGGAGGGGCAGAGAGAGACGGAGACACCGAATCCCAAGCAGGCTCCAGGCTCTGAACTGTCGGCACAGAGCCCGTTGTGGTCGGGCTCGAACTCGCGGACCGCGAGATTCTGCCCTGAGCTGAGGTCGGATGCTGAACCGACTGGGCCACCCAGGCGCCCCGTCACCTACTTACTTTTTGATCACAAACACCGTTAGTCCGATGGTGGTGTTCCGGAGCCGGAACTGCTCATTCAGGATGTCAATGTTGAAAGTCCCTTCCCAGACGGTGGGGGCCAGCCAAGGGGTGAGGACAAGGACATCTTTCCTACTGCGGCACAAGAGAGCCACCCGGTGTCAGTAGCATGACAGTGAACACACGGAGGGCCCTGGCGCATCAACCCCCCCCCCCGGACCCCACCCCACCCACCCAGCGTGCACCCCATCAGGGACCCACAGGGCTGACCCTCCTTCCAGAAGGCCTTCACATGTGCAAGAAACAAATGACATGGAAATCAAAACTCAGACTCGTGCAAATCACTCGCTGCCCTTAGCGAACACTGGACCCTGCTGGACCTCAGCGTGGAAGCTGGGATTTGCCGGCGAGGGGCGGGGGCCGTCCTCCGGGAAGGAGGAGGCGCCCCTTGGGCATTCTTTGGTGGAGAGAGAAAGGACGGAGAATAATTGGTGGGCTCCAAATTCAGACTCAGAAGCTGCCGAAGCAAGTTCCCGCCGAGTTTTCAGTGAAACCGCCTTTAAATGCATATGGTGAGTTTGGGGAGGTGTTGAGCAAGTGAGTGACGAGGGTGTTAGCACCTTGGGCTGGCGGTAAACCATCCTGAGATAAAACAACACGATGGGAGTGAGTCTGCAGGAAGATGGAGACCAGACACGTCTCAGTCCCAAGGGAGCAGGCGTCAGAGATGTGGGTCGTCCCGGGGAGGGACTCAGGCAAGTGAAACCCAAGGGAGGCAGTGCTGGGCACCTTCAGACGGGCAGGTTTCTGGTCTGGGGACTGGCAGCCCAGGTGACAACGTGAGGAAGCAGAGGCCCCAGCAGATCCTCAGTGAGAAGTGTGACGGGCTCCCCTCTCTGGGACCACAGAGCGCAGCCCCCATCCACCGCCGCAGGCCCGGACCTCCCCAGCAGGGCTCGTCCCAGGACCAGCGGAGAAACTCTGGTGCGGCGTGTGGGGTGAGGCGGGTGCCGGGTGTGTGCTCTTCCCGAGCCAGCTTTCCCCGGGGCTGGGTGCTGGCCACTCAAGTCTCTTCCTCTGCATCCTGTGTCCCCACATCAGAATTTCCAAAGCGCCCCAGCCCTGGAACATGGGCCGTTTGTGAGTTTTCACTCCCAGCTTCCTCAAGGGATCAACCGTGTCCACAAATCTCTCTTTTTTCAGGACACAAGCCGTCAAGGGGAGTTTCTGGGTCCAATTTTATATCATTTGTCAGGTACAAGCCTCGGCTTTCAGCCTCCACGGTCTCCTGGGCCACTGAGAGCCTTGCTTGGGAAAACGGGGGTGCCGAGCCCCGGGGACCATGATCTCCAGGAGGGATCGGGCAGGCGACCTCTGAGTGGAGTGACAGGGTACCTGGGGTGACAGGCCCAGCAAGTACAGTCCTGACCCCGGCCCCATACCGGCCCCCACGACGGTGGCGGTTGAGGAAGGCGTGGACACTCGTATGGGTAGTTCCACAGCTGGTGCCGGAGCTGCTCTGGCTCGAACGGGGCTCTAATCCCGGAACTGGCCCCAGGACTGAAGCTGGAGCTGGCCCCATCTCTGCAGCTGGGGCAAGAGGCGGTGCTGGACGTGGCTCCAGCTCTAGGGAAGGTGCTAGAGCCGCAGGCACCTCCAGAGAGGACCCAGACCTGCTTCTGCAGCCGGATATGGCTCTAGAGCTGAAGCTAGAGCTTCTGCTGTAGACTGTGGCTCTGGCTCCCGAGTGGGTGCTGAAGCGGCTTCAGCTTTGGCCCTGGAACTGCAGCTGGCCATGCAGCCAGTGCGAGCGACACAGCTGGTGCCAGAGTCCCCGGGGAATCCAATCCTGGAACCGCTGCGGGAGCTGTCCATGGTGCTGGAGCTGCTCTGGCTTTGGAGCTGGCTCTCGTCGCCGCTGCTATGCTGGACCCGGTGCCGGCCCTCTGCCTGGTGGGGAAACCGGTGGGGGAGCTGGTCGGAGCCCCGGCGTTGGCTCCACCTGCGGAACCGGTGTCCGGGAGGACGCCGACAGCAGAGCCGGCGCTGGAGCGGACATGGGCTCCGGCACAGGAGGCGGTGATGGAGCCGGTGCCAGAGCAGGACGTGGCTGGGATGTCGGCGCCGGAGCTGGTTCTTTGTCCGGAGGTGGCATCGGCTCTGCGTCTACCACAGGTGCCCAAGGCCGCTTTCGCTCTGGAGCTGGCGCAGCAGCTGGCACTTGCGGGGGCTTCTGCTCCGGACCCGGTATGAGAACTGTTGCTGTCGCAGGCTCTGGCTCTGAACTCGGTCCTGACTCTAGTTCTGGAGCCGATGCTGGAGCCGATGCTGGAGCTGGCTCTTCCTTGCAACCTGGCACCGGCGCTACATGGGGCTCGAGCAGCTTCTCTCTCTAACGTGGGCACTGGAACGACCACCGGGGCTGACACAGCAGTTGGCGAGAGAGCGGCTGCCGTCTGTGGAGGCAGCGCTACAGCCGGCATCGAGCCAGGGCTGGCTGGTGGGAGATCACCTCCCTGACCTTGGAGCTAAAGCTGGAGCGGCCTCGATCTCGGCAGTTGAATCAGTGCCGGACCTGGAGTTGACTCGAGCTGGCAAGTGGCTTGACCTCGGGCTCTGGAGCCGGTTCTGGCTCTGGTTCTGAGCTGGTGACAGAACTGGCTGTGGCAGTGGCTCAGATGCAGGGGCCGGGGCTCAGACTGACTCTGGGTCTGGAGCTTCGGCGGGAGCTGGCTGGCTCTGCAGGTCTCTCAAGCTCTTGAGCCGGTGCCGGAGCTGACTCTAGGGCGGGATCTGGCGCTGAGGCCACTTCCGGTGCTGACGCTGGCTCTGGAGACGGTTCCAGCCCTAGAGATGCCTGTAGCTCTAGTCGTGCTGCCGGAAGCGATGAGGACCAGGTCTAGTTCACTCCCGCCTTGTCCGTTGCTCTGGAATGCACGTCGGTCCGACCCAGACTCCAGAGCTGGCTGGTGCCGGACCTGGCAAGTCGGTTGACGACAGAGCTGCCTCTGTCTCTGCAGCCGGTGATACCGCGGGTGCCTGTGCTGGTTCCAGCCCTTCCGCTGGTCCTGGAGCCGGTGCTGGAGCTGGCTGTGGTTCCGGGGCTCTCACGTGAGCTGATGTGAGAACAACGGCTCTGGACTTGACACTGGATCAGGTGAGAGAGC